TGTTGCCTTGAATGTATTTGCAGTTAGAAATATTGGCGAAACCAGAGTGAGTACTGATATTCTGAAGTCCCAGAGACAGCTAGAGGTGACCTACTAAGGTTTGAAGGAAGGCTAGGCTCAGACTCAGTCAAGCCGCTGGGCTCAGTGTTCCTGGCTGCTCCTCAGCCTCCTTACTGTGCTCACTCCCTTAGCTGTTAGCTTCTTTGTTACGTGGCAAGTAAGATGTGGCTCTTTTTCTGTGTTTTCCGCGTTTTGCTTTTTTGCGTTTTGCTTTTTCCGCATTGTAGTCTCTTCCTATAATTAGCATGGCTAAAAGGAAAATGTAAACTTAAACATTGTTTTTTAAAAAAATAGCCTGCTGGACTTCTGAGCTGGATTTAAATCCCAGCTGTTATTTAAATTGATTTGTGACCTTTGATGAGTCTGAGACTGTTTCAACAGTAAAATGGTGATAAGAATACTTATTTGTAGAATTATCTTGAGCATTAGGGATATAAAATGCCAGCCTCATAAAATAACACTGAGAATCATTAACTATTTGCTCTTCCTGGATCTGCGTACATATGAAAACAGCAGGACGTCTCTGTTTTTTGAATTCCATTAAAGTTCAGGTGCCCAGAGTTGTATGGGGTGCAAGTTAGACACTGGAAGGGTTATGTGCTTATAGAACATTTCTGCCTCTTGAATTGTTAAGGGTATTACACAGCCTTCGAAGTGGAAGAAGTCTCAAGGGTAAGTTGGGCCAGGGGTATCCTTAAGGAAGTTGGGGATCCCAGTGGAGCGAAGAGATCTCAAAAGTGGCTAGTGTGTCCTTGCATCATGCTTGTGGTAGGTTGCTTTTGGATTTGTGGTCACAGACATTTTCTACAAGGCATGTCATTTCTGGGCTTTTCAGTTTCGGTCTGGCTCTGAAACCTTTCGTCCAAACATGGCACCCCATTTCCAGTTTCTTCTTTATACCAGACTGACCTATCTGCAGATCTTATTTTCGTTTCCTAGCTCCACCTTAGTGAATCAACCCTTTATATCCCTTTACCCATCTTTTCTTTTATAAGCCCTGGACTCACAGCAAATTGCATGTGGCCTGAGTATGTAAAGAGTAGCAAAGAATTGAAATTCATGTTTGGATTCCCCTCTGTGGAAATCCCCCCTCTTCCTGTGTTGCCAGTCCCTTCTGATCCGGATGCCCACCATACTAATAGTTTGTTAAAAATTTAAAACCTAGCAGAAGTTCTTCCCCAACCTGTTGGGCTTGCCAAAGAAGTCCCAGACATCTTGTCCTCAAGAAGTATATAGTTTAGTGAGGATTAGGCAGCACTGGGGTTCCCTAAGATTTTCCCTGGACACGGTTTGTTCCCTGGACCCCCTCTCCACTGTCCATGATTGCTTGATGAGCCCTTAAACCTCAACGTGTTTGTTTGTTTGTTTGTTTGTTTTTCGAATTCATTAGAGTTTTCCCCCCCAAAGATCCTCTTAATTGAAGAATGGAATTAAAAGCACACATACACGCCATGTGTGTACACTTAAAAACTATTCAGATACCCAGCAACTGTTACGAGGTTGCTTCTAAACCAACAGAAACTCTAGTGTTTCATAAAGTTGTGTTACGTGCAAAAAAGCTTTATCTTTCGTAACTACTTGTCTTTAGAAACCTGCCTGTCTAGAAGAGGGACCTCTGAGTATTGTTTGCTACAAACAAGTAGCTTCCAACGCTTCTGCAAACCTTTTTGGCAGGAGCATAGAATCCATAATCCTGGGATTAAGAGCTAGCATTGTAGTTTTGGGTTTGGGGAGTTTTAGCTAGACCTACCTAGGACCAAGCAAAATAAGTTGGATAGTAAATCATTAGGGGTTTGTTTTTCCAACAGACGAGGTGATTGAGGGTTATGTTTGTTTTAAGGAGGCAATTTTGTTTATTAAGACATATTAAAGTGAGCATCCTTGAATATCTTAGTTTTTCTTTCATCTTTTTCAGTTAAACAAGTATTTAATACCAGTCACAATCCAGTCATTGTTCTAGATCTTTATACTCGTGTTGTTTTAATTTTTAAACTAATTATTTTTTAGAATTTGGTAATGCATGTACATTATACATTAGGTTATACACTGAAAAGTAACTCTTCCTTCAGCCCCTTCTTGCCTCAGCCCTGGATCCTCCTCAAACTCTGTACCAGTTTCTTATGTATTCTCCCAGAGATAGTCCATGCATATGCAACCAGCTACATGTATAATATTCTTTTTCTCACAGATAGTGCTGGCAAGCTATGATAGACTTACTTTGGTGGCCCTCCCAATGAACTACGCATCCTTGTATTTAAGCCCTTCTGTAATTCCCTCCCATATTGGCTGTGCTTGGCCATGTGACTGGCTTTGGCCAATGGTGAATTAGTGAGTGTGATGCAAGTAGAGGCTTGGTAAGTGCTTGCACATTGGGACTTGTTCTCTGGGAATGCTCACTACTGTGACACTGCTGCTCAGAACCCAGAAACCAGCAGCTGTGAGGTACCCAACCTAGCCATGTGGAGAGGCTTCACGCAGGAGAACTGAGGTCCCTGCGCGTGGCAGCCGGACAGTAGCCAGCCTCAACTGGCCAGCCATGTGAGGGACAGACCATCTTCTTGGAAGTAGAACCTCCAGGCCCATTGACACCACTCCAGAGGATGCTCTGAGGAGCAGAGACCAGCTTTCCCCGCTGAGCCCTGCCCACATTGAAACAATGTGAGCTGTCATTCTGAGGCACCAGATTTGGTTTGTCTTGCAGCAAAAGATAACAGAAACTCTGTATTCACTATGTATTCTGTGACCTGCTTTTTTTCACTGAATGATATATTTGATAATCCACCTATTTCAGTATATACAGAGTTACCTCATTCCTTTTTTAAGAGCTGGATACTATTCCTTTGTATAGCTGTGTAGTAATTGAATTAATCAACCTCTTATTGATGGCTATTTAATGTTTCCAGTTCTTTGCAGTCTTTAATATCTTCGCTGCATGCTTGCTTTTATACAGGAACAAATATATTTATTGAGTAAATTCTTAGAGATGGAGTTGCTGGGTCAAAGAATATTTGGCTTCGTCATTTTCCTATGCATTGCCAAGTTGCCCTCATGAGAGGTTACCCCCCAACCAGCTCTAAGGCATGAGCGGACGGTGCTGGCCCCAGCAGTACCAGAATGCTGTTGAAATGTCACATTTCTGCCTTGCTATTGTGTTTGCATATATTGAAAAGGCATTTGCATTTCCTTCTTGATGGACTGCCTTTTTGCTGTTGGATTGTTGGCCTTTTTCTTCTTAGAAGGAGCTCTTTGTATTTTAAGGAAATTAGCTCTTGCTTAATCCGAAGCAAATCCTTTCTCCCCCTTCGTTTCTCATTTATCTTTTTCCTTGGTTAGAGCAGTGTTTTCTGCTAATTGTGGTTAGATTTATCAGTCTTCTATAGCTTTTGGATTTTCCTGTTTTTCTGTTTCTTTTTTCATATTTAGACTTACCCCTGCCTGAGATTATAATGGGTATTTTCCTGTGTTTTCTTATTGTATTATTACTGTTTTGCTTTTTACATCTTCATCTCTGAGCTACCTGAAATATCTCTTGATAAATAGGTTTCAAATTCTATTTTTCCCAGTTGTCCATTAAAACTGTTGTGCCATGTCATCCTTATATACTGCATTTCCATATTTATACCACAGGTAATCTCAGTATATTTATTTAATGCAATAAACTCTTGAGTTGCTATCCCATAAATTACTTATTTTCTCTTTTCTCTACTATTTAGGAAATACTGTAGTGAATATTTTTTAAAAACAACTCTTTATAATTATTAATCCCAGACTAGTTTAGGATTTCTTTTGTGGATGTACAAATGAACATTTATAGTCTGCTTTGAAAATTATTTAAACTTCCATTTTGTTAAGCTGCTCAAAAGCTGAAGTTGGAAAGATAGGTGTTTTATGCACAGGGATACAGAGATCAATCCATGTAATTGAGATCCATCTGGAGATATAGGTAAGATTGTGAAGGCACAGAGTGACATGCTTTTTGATCATGTACCATACAGAAAGGCCTGTTCCTGAATTTAAGAAGCATGTAATAGTACTGGTAGAAAAACCGTATCTAATCAGGAGTGTGAGAAGGCTAGGACCCTGCGAAAAAAAGAAGATTTGGTTTTGCTAATGGAATGGCTGAAGCCAGGTCATTATGGGAAGAAAGAAGTCAGGAAATTATGCTTGTGTTACGGTACATTAAGGAAATGCGTCCATTTAATTCAGGGAAGCCCTTGTGATTTATAGGTAATGACTATAACTGTCCCAGGCCCCCAAGGGGACAGTGCCACTCAGTGGAGGCAGAACTGAGAAGTTCCTCCAGCCTTCCCCCTCCTGCCCCTCTAGGTCCAGCCACTCGTGCTCATTTCCCCTGGCTCACGGAGCATACTTCCAGACCTTTTATCACAGGTCTGTGGTCTGACCCCACAGGGCCTGGGAGGTCTGCATTTGGAACACGTGCCCTGTGGTTGTTAAATTTAACCCCTGCTAAGAGAATGAGATGGACACCCCTGGAAAGAGAGACAGAATTAAGGTGCTGCCCAATCTACATATGTGTGTTGCAGCAGGATCCAAGCTCTGCAGGGAGATTTCAGGGATCAGCCCCAGGTGGGCCTGCCACGCTCGTTCTGTGCGCGTGAGTGGTATCACGCTCTCTTCATTCCCTAGAGAAACCTGCACGTCTTCTAGGTAAGAAAACACATCTTGCCAAGGTGGACAGTTGATGTCTAGGTTCAGAGTTACGTAACGTTCGAGCTAAAAGAAACCCATCGAACCATTTCATTTGGTCAGGCATGTTTTTACAGCTTTCTTTCCCTGCATTTTATGATCTTAAACTCTCGGGCTGGTTTGACACCCATGGCATTGTTTTCCATTTTCTCAGCGCCAGACAAGCTGGGATATTTCAGCAAATATTTAGTTTCAAGGATAAAAAAAAAATATGTTCTTTCTTTTCCCTTTAGATCCTGTCTAAAGTTTCTCTGCCCGCTCGTGCCGGGGAGCCAGCAATGAAGCAGAGTTTCGCCTTTGACAATGTTGGCTATGAAGGCGGCCTGGATGGCGTGTGCCCCCCTCAGATGACCAGCAGCACCATCAGCATTTCGGGCATGACTTGCCAGTCGTGTGTAAAGTCTATCGAGGGCAGGATTTCCAGCTTGAAAGGCATCGTGAGCATTAAGGTTTCCCTGGAACAAGGCAGCGCGACCGTGAAGTACGTGCCGTCCATCCTGAGCCTGCCGCAGATTTGCCGGCACATTGAGGACATGGGCTTTGAGGCCAGCATCGCAGAAGGAAAGGCCGCCTCCTGGCCTTCAAGGTCCTCGCCTGGCCTGGAGGCCGTGGTCAAGCTCCGGGTGGAGGGCATGACCTGCCAGTCCTGCGTCAGCTCCATTGAAGGCAGGCTTGGGAAACTGCAAGGGGTAGTGAGGGTCCGAGTGTCCCTCGGCACCCAGGAAGCAGTCATTACCTACCAGCCTTATCTCATCCAGCCCCAGGACCTCAGGGACCATGTCAACGACATGGGCTTTGAAGCTGTCATCAAGAACAGAGTAGCGCCCGTAAGCCTGGGACCCATTGATATTGGGCGGTTACAGAGGACCGACCCAAAGACACCTTCGGCTTCTGATAACCAGAATCTCAATAACTCTGAGCCCTCGGGACACCACGGGAGCCACGTGGTCACCCTGCAACTGAGAGTAGATGGAATGCACTGTAAGTCTTGTGTCCTGAATATTGAAGAAAACATAGGCCCACTCCCTGGGGTTCAAAATATTCAAGTGTCCTTGGAGAACAGAATCGCCCAAGTACAGTACGACCCTTCTCGTATCACTGCAGACGCCCTGCAGAGGGCCATTGAAGCTCTTCCGCCTGGGGACTTTAAAGTCTCTCTTCCTGATGGAGCAGCAGGGGGTGGGGCAGGTAGCAGGTCTTCCGACCGGGCGGCCCCCGCCCCCGCCCCGAGAACCCAGGAGCCAGGCGTGTGCAGTACCGTGGTGCTTGCCATCGCTGGAATGACCTGTGCGTCCTGTGTCCAGTCCATCGAAGGCCTGGTCTCCCAGAGGGAAGGGGTGCAGCAAATATCAGTCTCTCTGGCTGACGGGACCGGAGTGGTGCTCTATGATCCCTCTGTAATTCACCCGGAAGAACTCCGAGCTGCTGTTGAAGAAATGGGATTTGAGACTTCAGTCCTTTTTGGTATGTAGTTGACCCATGTGAAGCGCACCCTGGGGTCTCCTCCTTTCCTTGTGCTTACGACATAGTGCCTGCAGGGTGGGGTGGGGGGGCCACACTTGCTGCTCACTTGTCAGCAGGGGCGACCAAATTCTGCAGCTTGTGTCAGGGTAGAAGAGAGAATTTTCTGGTGTGCAGATTTCGCCTCTCGTGTAGCTGGGACTAAGATGTTAAGTTCTTCGTTTTTTTCTGAAGAGAACTCCGATTCTGTGTTCTTTTTAAAAAAGAGTTCTGTGCGAACACCAGGACCTTCTCTCTCCAAAGGAGCCATCATCATATTCTGAGATTTCTCTGCTGAACAGAACAGTAAAAACAGAATCTTAGTCTCACCAGCTGGAGCCCATTCCGTGGAAAGCGGGAATTAAGGAGGCGATGCAGTGATGGTCGCCCCTGCCCTCCTGCTGGCTGTGGAAAGAAGTGCGCCTTTCTGCCGTGTGCCGGGACCTGTGCGCGGTGGGCTCTCCCGAGAGCCTCTGTAATAGTGTGGCAGGAGCCAGCGAGGGCAGGGGACGGGGACAGGATGCTGGAGGCAGCTCGGGGTGCTGGGGGAGCCAAGAGCAGCGGCCTGAGTGTGAGGACTCAGGAGGAGGGGAGACAGGCCGGACAGCAGGTGGGCCACTCCGAATGGGCTGCACGTCCAGCTGAGGCTGGACTTTACTGTGAAGGTGAGGGGTGTCAGCGGTGGGTTTTAATCGAGAGGCAGCGCAGGTGAGCTCACACTTGAGCAGGCCTGTCGGTGTCGGTGCAGTGTGGATTGAGGCACAGAGACCGCGCGGAGGCGGGATGAGGGCCGATTTGGGGCTGGAGAGCAAGAGATGGATTAGGACGACATCCAGGAGGTTGCAGCCAGCAAGCTTGGTCCAGGTGAGGGGTGTGATGGGACGGGCCGTGGAGGAAAGGGAGAGCCTGCGGCCAGCCCGAGCTGCGTAGATGCTGGACGACAGCAGAGTATTGGGTTGAATTCCGGGAGAGCGGGGCTGGAAATGCAGATTTGGGTGGTGGGAGCCGTGGGAGATGACAGAAGGCCAGGGAAAGTGAGTGTGACCCGGGATGGGTAGAGGGAAGAACGTGATGGCACTGGTGTGGGAGGAAGGGTGTCTAGAGAAGGAGATTTTCACAGACAAGGATGGCACCCTGGAAGTAAAGGAAGCTGTTTCAAGGAGGGGGCTTACGGGGTCTCAGGCTCTATGTAACTAGGAGGAAGAGGCTCGGGCGAGGGGGTGGCCAGCTGCATGGTTGGGGGGGTGGGCTCAGCCCTCCAGGAGCTCAGCCGAGGAAGGATGGAGAAGGTGATAGATACATAGGGGGTTTGCAGAGAGGCCGAAGATGAGGAGGGAGGGCCGGACACACGAGGGACAACTGTGTGGGCAGCAGTGTTTCCACGGCTTTGCTCCCAGGACACAGGCCCTGTGCGGCCATGCGAGTTGCAGGCCGGGCCAGGCCGGTAGAGTCCCGTCAGTCTGCGCTGCAGCCAGCCCGGCTCCAAGAAGGGCTTGTGGGCGAAGACCCGTAGCCGCGCTCAGGGCCCGCTGGACTTGGGTTTCCCACGTACACTTCGCGGTGGCCGCCAAGATAAAGTGTGTCTCCTTGAAAAGTTCGCTCTGTCTTGGTGCTGCCCTGCACACACACCCTTAAAGGGAGTGGGTAAGTCATGTGCAGTGACTTGGCCCCGTTCTGTACCTTGTCTTTTGTACCAAGTTTCAGGAAGGAGATTTTAAACAAAAATCAATAAGGAAAACACAATGGAACAGTAAATCCTGTACTTAAAAGGTAGGAAATGTAATACAGAGTCATCATCTGCTGTATTTGTATGAGGTTTCAAGTCTTCCAACAGTAGAATCGGGTTGTTGGCAGTAAGAAGAAATTTGCGTTGAATTGCGTAATCCAGAATAATTGGATTTGACTAAGTAAGTGGAGAAAGAAAAGAGCAGTGCTTTTTATTGGCCAGAATTATGAGAATTATGTGTTTAGCCCAAGAGGTATTCAGTGTACTAGATTTAGCAAATAAAGGTATAGGACACCTAGTTGGATTTGAATTTCAGATAAGCAGTGAATACTGTTTCAGTTTAAGTGTGTCCCATGCAATATTTGGGACATACTTATTAATATAAGTATATATAAATTATAAAAAATATATAAATTATAAAATAACTTAAGAAGTTATTTGTTGTTTATCTGAAATTCAAATTTAGCTGGGCATTTTGTATTTCACCTGGCCGTCTTTAAAATTTAGGATAAGCCATAGTGTGCTGGTGACTATCTTCATAGCCACTTAAATGCTAAAAAGGCATTATTTATATTTGATTGGTCATTCTGGAACGATCAGGAAGAGGAGCTCCTTGAACACAGTCTTCGAACCATGTTGTTTCTCCTTGGACTCAGCAGCACCCAGTGCATAGGAGGTGTTTGTGGGGGGAGTGAAAGAGAAAGAAGAGGCTGTGACAGGTGGGCTCATGGGGTAGCTCAGTGGCAGGGTTGAATCCGGGGAACTACTCAGAGATGGTAGAGAGAGCTGAATCACCAACCACACAGGGAATGGGCAGGAAACCAAGAGATGACTGAGAGCAGAACCTGGTGCCCCAGCAGGAGGATCTGAGGGAAGAGGGCGCCACGAGAGCCTGGGGGCTGAGGTTGCCTGGTACTAGCTGGCGGCCCTGGAGCTACTTAGAGGCTGTGGCCAGGACCTGGGCTCCCAGTAGATAGAAGGGAAACGCTTCAGGCTTTCCCTCTTTCTGTCCTATCGTTTCCCACTGGTTACCTCCCCCGTGCCAAATTTAATCAGAAGCCAGTTAGCAAGGGAACCTGGGAAAAGTGGTTTTGCAGGGTCAGCCCCCTTGACAATAGAGCAGGGAGAGAAAAGGGAACGGTCTGAGAGCACATGGGCAAGTGGCAGGCGTTGAATTTCAGCCAGCTTACTGGGCAGCTGAAAATACCTTTAGACCTGGTTTGTGTCTAGAAATCAGCTCTGCGTGTGTGCTCTGGTTTGCATGGTAAGTACTTTTTGAATGAATAAATGAACAGATGAACGGCTTTATGAATATACCGTGAGGGAAAGTCCTCTGTTACGTGTAACGTGTTCCCTCACCCTTTCAGTGGGCAGTGTCCCTCTTGGGGCACTGTTCCCTCATCCCAGCGTGTGTTGCGGGGCTTCTGGGTCCCAGGCGCTGTGCTGGCTGCCGTGAGTGCTCAGAGACGGTCCCGGACCTGCCCACATGTGGTTCACACTCTAACACGGAAGCACATCAGAGACCCATCATCCAAGGCAGGTTGGAATAAATGTGACAAGGAAAGCGTAGGTAGAGCGCTCTTGAGATTCAGAAGAGGAGAAGTCCAGTGTCTGGACTTGATGATAGAGGTGACTTTGGAGCTGGGCTTGGGTCAGACTTCAGGGTCTCAGCAGGCAGAAAAGGGCAGGACTGCACCAGACAAGATGGAGGAGACCCAGCACAGGCCCTGGGCGGGAGTCCTCCCGCTCTGTCTTGGGAGCAGTCTGGCTTGGGTGGAACTTGAGTATAAGTAATGGGAGATAAGGTCAGACAGGCCAGCACCCTGCTGCAAGCCACCATCCTGTGTGTCCTGGATCCTGGAAGAGACTCGGAAATAGTCTCCCTGCTTCTTGCCTTTCAGCCTTACAGTCTGTTTACTACCCAGCATTCACAGTGTTCCTGTTACTCTGTTGAGACTCTGAAACCTTCCCATCTGTGTTGTGAGAGAGAGTCCTTAGGGTGATCTAGAAACCCCCTCCCTGACTCCCTACCTTTCTAACCCCTTCCCAGTCCTCATAGCAGGCTTGTTCTCACCTCAGGGTCTTGTACTTGCTGTCTCCCGGGTCTAGAGTATGCTTCCCCCAATATCCACATGGTGCATTTCATTTCATACATACTCTTCTGGACTTTTCCCAAAGCATATATAATTTATATTTAGAAATGCATAGATACATTGTATATGGTAGATTGCATTATATATGGTGGTTTTGTAATCTCTTTCACCCTGCATCATAACATGCTTATAGGTCCATCCATATGTCTGCATCACCATGTTCAGCGGCTGCATAGCGTTCTGTTGTATGGATGCACCATAACTCAGTCAGTTTCCGATTGGATTGTTCTCATCTACTTTGTGTGCATGTGATTGTAAATAATACTGATGGCGATCTTTGAGGCTACATTTTATGCACATACTTAGTTATTTCCTTATGGTAAATACCTGAAAGCATTAATTATTGGGTCACAGAATATAAACTTTATTTCATTCCATTACAAATACTTATTGGGCCTCTACTAAGTGCCAGGCAGTTAGAGGTACTGTTTTGATAATATTGTCAAGTAGACTTCCAGAAAGCCAAGTCAATTTACATGCCCACCCATAGTCTTAGCATAGATGGATAAAGAAAAAGGTCTTGTTTGGGTTTTGTTAGTTTATTTCAGCTTTCTTTAACAATCTCCAGAAGCTCAGATTTTAGGTGAGTTAAATTCCAGTGTGGTTCAATGGCAATGTGTAAGTTGTAGGTTAGTAAGGGAGTACAGAATTCTCTGTAATAGTACAAATATTGTTAAAATTGTTGACCACAATATTTGGATAGAAAGGCAGGTGAATCCAGGAAACAGGTGATGGACTGGGAAAATAGGGAGGGGTTGAACAGGTGCAGGAGGGTTGAACAGGTGCAGGGGGGTTGGACAGGTACGGTGCAGATGGATGCGTGCAGGAGATAGAATGTTGAGAGGTTGTGGCCACAAAACAGCTTTTGTGAATTTGAGATCCAAAGGGCAGAGTCATTTTGAACAATGACCAGGTCCAGGAGAGTATACCTGTGCTGGTGGGTGAGCTGTGGTCCCTGCATCAAGAAGGGAGAGAGGTCCTGTGAGGCCAGAGTGGTGGAGGGTTTTCACTGAAGGTGCTGAAAGGGTCAGTCAACTGGACCCTTAGGATGAGTGGAAGTAGCTTTTAAGCCACCTTTCAGAAAATGAGCAAAACATCCCAGGATGTGAGATTTATTTAGAAAAACTTGAAAGTCACGGCCTATTCTCAGTACACGTTAATGCCAACTTCTGTCTTCTGCAGCTTGGATTTTCAAATAAAATGAGAGTTCATTGTTAAATGATATAATTATCTTTTGTATATACTCTTTTTTTTTTTCTTTTGTATATACTCTTAAAAGTACTTTCTGTCATCAAAATTGTGTGACTTTCTGGAGTGATGGAAACGTCCTAGATCTTGATCTGGATGATTAGTTACAGATGTAGGTATGTATGTGGTGGGCAGAAAAATGGCCCCTGACGATGTCTGCACTCTCATCCCCAGAACTCCTTGGGGAGGGCGGGGGAGGATGATATTTTCAGTTTATGGAGCTGGATATCCAAATGGAAAGAAATTAACCTTAAGTCTCACCTCTTAACTTACACAAAGTTAATTTGCAGTATGTCATAGGCCTGATATGGAAGTTTATGAAAGTAACAGCTCCTAGAAGGAAACCATGAATATTTTTAGTGTTTAGGCAGACAGATCTGCTACTGGAGCACAAAACATACTAACCATTAAAGATGGTTTAGTTGGTTGGTAAGTTGGGCCTCGTTACCATTCAGGACTTGTTCTGTCAGAAGAGCCACCACGAGCTGAGGGTGCGGGTACAGAACACAGCCCGGAACAGGTATGGGTGGTGCGGGCACCTGACAAGGACTCGTGTCCAGAGCACATCCAGGACACAGGCAAACAATAGGGAAAGGCAGACAACTCAGTGAAGGGGTTTGGGGTCCACTGGATTCTTTGGGGGGAACAGACCTCTGCTAAGGAGAATGTGATACTTAAAGGTACAGATCCTGGGGGTGAAGAGACCTGGTTTAGAAGCTAGCTTCATTACTTACTACCTGAGGGGTTTGGAGCACATTTTTAAATTTCTTTAACCCATTTCTCTATCTGTACAAGATATTGTACAGCTATTTTAAAGGAGGTCATCCATGTGCTTAGTGGAGGGACTGGTGAGTTCTTGTTGTCATCGTCTAATTAGAGCACTCATCCAGCTGGAACATTCCATTCTTGAGTATTGGCATCTTTTCATATGTCTGTGATTGTGTGCCTCTGTCTCTGGTGGGAGGGGGGCAGTGATGGAAACCAACCCCCATGGAGCTTCTTCAGGAGCTTTCATTTGCTTCCATCAGGCTTGAACCTCCTGTTCTAAGAAAAAGTTATTCTTCTAATCTGAATGATTTCTTACGTTTTATTCTAGAAAACTGTTACAGCAACCATGTTGGAAACCACAGTGCGGGGAATTCCTCAGCGCACCCCACAGCTGGCGTACCTGTGTCTGTGCAGGAAGAGGCTCCCCATGCTGGGGGCCTTCCTAAAAACCACAGCCCTGGCTCCTCGTCCAAGTCCCCGCAAGCCTCTACCACAGCAGCACCTCAGAAGTGCTTTTTACAGATCACAGGCATGACCTGTGCATCCTGTGTGTCCAACATAGAGAGAAACCTGCAGAAAGAAGCAGGTAAGGGGGGCGCCTGGGTGGCTCACTCGCTGGGCGTCTGCCTTCGGCTCAGGTCATGATCTCAGGGTCCTGGAATCAAGCCCCGCATCGGGCTCCCTGCTCGGCGGGAAGCCTGCTTCTCCCTCTCCCACTCCACCTGCTTGCGTTCCCTCTCTCACTGTGTCTCTCTCTGTCAAATAAATAAATAAAATCTTAAAAAAAAAAAAAAAGAAGCAGGTAAGAGGCCTGCCCCCACATTAGACTTGGGGAGGCTGTGCCCATGTTAGGCTGGGGAGGCTGCGTGTGCAGGCTGTCAGACGCTGCGGGCAGCAGGATGAGCATTGTGCTCTCCCTTCACAGTCCCCACTGACTCAGTTTATCAGCAGCCCTGATCATCTGGCAGCAAGTTCGTTGTATGATAGCAGAGAAGTCTGTCTGATGTTCTTGGGCGCTTGGCATTGTGTTCTTTTGGAAGTGTTTAGCTTGTTTAAGATAGAATAGAATGTATCTCTGAGTGAGTTAGTGATGGGAAGTGCAATGTAAAGGTCCTGGCACATTCCGTGGGTAGCTTTCTCAGTTAGCTTGTCCCGGTGGTCATCTCTGTTTTCCCCTCCAGCCCCAGCCATCGGCCTCACACTGTCGCATGAGTACATAGCCTGCAGTTTGTGGAGAAGTGGCAGTTTTGAACATCCCATCCTTTGCTCCTGTAAATCACAGAGTGTTGTAGAAGGGCCACAGTGTTGTCCTCTAAACTGCATTTCCAGTACTGTCTCTTAAACCTGAAAGTGCAGCAATAATCCCGTCCTAGTGTTTTGTTTGGAAAATATCTTAACCCTGACTCCAGCAGAGTCACTTTCTCTCTCTCCATGTATCTCTCTGCTCAGACTCCTTGGCCTTCCCAGTCAGCCCTAAAGTAGGGTGACACGTTTCCAGCCTCTGGTTCCCTATGCTGTATGTGTCCTGGAGCTCTAGAACGACTGTTTGCAAATTGAGGCGTGCTTGTCATCCATGGGCTGGCTGCTCATAAAATATCCTATATCTCATGGTGCCTGTGCTTCTTTTCCTGACTTGACTCCCCCATTTTTATCCATCATGGCATCCTTTCTAAAGCACATGTCTTTCTTTTATGTGAATGAGTCGTGTTTCCCCCTCAAACTCACACAGTAGTGTTAGCAAGGTACAGATCTCACTGGACTTACAGTAGCGTTATGTCCCAATAAACCCATCATATGCTGAAAATATCCTAAGTCGAAAATACATTTAATCCACCTAACCTAGGGCACATCATAGCTTGGCCGAACCGACCTGACGCGGGTCAGAATGTGTGTCGGTTGTTCCCACAGCTGATGGGAGCCGAGGCGCTCAGCCACTGCCCGGCATGTCCAAAGAAGGCTGTACAGCCTAGCGCTAGCCCCAGGAAAGGTCCAAATCCACAGTTTGAAGTGCGGTTTCTGCTGAACGTGGATCACCTTTGCACCATCATAGAGTCGAAAAGTTGTAAGCCAGACTGTTACATGTCGGAGATGGTCTGCAGCCTGGGATTTCTCTTCCACTTCTGAAAGGGCTTAGAGAGAGAAAAAGAGGAAGGAAAAGTACCTTTGAAAGAATTTTTTTTCTGTGTGTGAAAAAAGTGCACCACTGATGGAACAGTAGTTGCGAGCTGCAGACTGTATCCCTTGCGGTGAGGTGTGGGTGCCCTCGGCACCCTCGGCATCTTCTGGAGCCCGACTCAGTAACGCCCGGCCAGCAGCACAGACACTGTGTGGGAGCGGGGTGCATCTGCAGAACCCCAGACCCACTCCAGACCGACTGAACCAGAATCTGGAGTTTAACAGGGTCCTCAGGTGGTTCGTGTGCCCATCAAAATGTGAGAAGCATTGTTCTAGAACACTGGTTCTCACACTTGGCTGGTGCATTAAAGTCGCCTGGCACCCACCCTGAGGGCTTCTGATTTAACTGGTTTGAGTTTAGGGCCGGGCCTGGTGATCGCCAAGTGATCCTAGTGTGCAGTCAGGTTTGAGGACTCCTCTTCTAGAGGCTTCTGGGACAGATGCGTTTCTTTGTTATGGGTTATGTTGACTTTGTCATCTCAGAGGCCTTGCCTGGAGTGTTATAACTGTGGCCCGATGGTTCCAGGTATTCTCTCGGTGCTGGTTGCCCTGATGGCCGGGAAGGCAGAGGTTAAGTATAACCCAGAAGTCATCCAGCCGCTGGAGATAGCTCGGCTCATCCGGGACTTGGGCTTTGAGGCGGCGGTAATGGAAGACTACACAGGCTCAGATGGCGACCTCGAGCTGATCGTAAGTGCGGCCGGCGGCTGGGCAGGAGCTGGGGGCGGGAGCTGGGGCCACAGGGCTGCAGGCCTCCGACGGGGGCCAGGAAACTTCTCCCGTTTTACACATATCCTGTGTGTTGTTGGGGTTTTGTTTGTTGTGTTTTCCTTCGAAGCCAACGACGACGACCTGTTCATTTTGTGAGGGAATGTCGGGCCTGTCACAGTCATAGGGCTGCACCCCACTGGGCGCAGCCACGGTGTGAAGAGGAGGGGGAGGTGAGTGGTGGGAGTGTAGGAAGAAGAGGCATTTAAATGGCAGCTGTCCAGAGCTTGGATTTGAGGGCGTTGAACCTGAACACATTCCAGAAAGCCCAGAGGCGTCTCGAGGCCAGAGGGGGTGAGTCAGCGTGGTAGCCAGGGCCACTGGTGCTATCCCAGCCCGACTGCAGGCACAGGGGCGTCTGGGAGCTAAGTGGCGACCAGTGTCCCGTAGCACCCACCCTGCGGTGGCGGCCAAGGCTGGATGCCAGGGTGGTAGGGGAGGTTACTGTTTGCTGTCTGTCCGTGTTACCAGCTGTACATGACAGCACATCATCACAACACTAGGTACTAGACTCGCATTTCCGCTGTGCTGTATTCACAAGCACTTCTGCATAAAGCTCTTTTTGTGTAAATAAAGGGAGGCTTAGACAAGGAATTGAGTGAATGCCCTTGTACCGAGGAGGAAGAGTCTTAACTCCGTTAACCGTGTTTAGTCACTGCCATTATGGTAAGTAAATGTTTGAGTAGTAAGGACGCGAGTGGCACTTTGAGCTCTTGATAAGGGGCATTCTTTGTCGAGCAAACCCTTTGCTCTGGATGGGCCTCCCGGTGTGTGGTCAGGCGAAGTGTTCTGCTCTCCGGCTTCCAGCCCGCGGCACCCCTGAGGCCGGAGTGCGGCCCCCGCTGCAGACCCCAGCCCCGATGGGGATGCCTCTGCCAGCTCAGACCACTGTGGAAAATCTAGATCAGGAATATTATTGGGAAAGGTGAAAACATTGTTTTTTGAATACACATTTTAATCTTTATTTTGCCAATAAGAGAAAAAGATAATAAAATGGGTAAGACAAATGCATAACTAAATTATTACTTCGTTATACGTATATGTATTTGTCTATAGGTCCAAATGACAAAACAATTTATTCATTGAGTTAATGGGTTAATTGTGTTGAGAAAAGATAGCTTATATATGAAAGATGTATGACATGGTTTTTTTGTTTTAAAGATTTTATTTATTTATCTGAGAGAGAATGAGAGAGACAGAGAGCACATGAGAGGGGGGAGGGTCAGAGGGAGAAGCAGGCTCCCTGCCGAGCAGGGAGCCCGATGCGGGACT